TGTTGGTGTTGGTGTTGGTGTTGGTATTGTTGTTGTTGTTGCTGCTGCTGCTGCTGCTGTTGCTGCTGCTGTCTTTGTTGTTGTTTTTGTTTTTGGTTTTGTTTTGGGTTTTGTTGTTGTTGTTGTTGTGGTTGTGGTTGTGGTTGTGGTGGTTGTTGTTGTTGTTGTGGTGGTGGTCGTTGTCGCTGTCGTCGTTGTCAGCATTCTTTGTTCGTGGCTGCATTCATTACACTTAGTCATTGCTCACATCGACTGACTCAGAATTCCCCCTGCCTGAGCAGATGTTGTGGCCGCTGACGTCATGATAATCGTTGGCATCGAAGAGGTTCGAGTCGACGAAGAAGAAGTCCATGGCGAAGTCGTTGAACTTTACCTGCATCATCATCTTCGTCTTCGTGGTTCAGGACCCAGGAGCTCGAATCCCTACACTGAGCTACTACAGCTGGCTGTTTGTATCGGAATCCTACCGCTCCCGGGGCATCTCGCTCTTGCTATCGGGCCATCTTACCCGAACGACCCAAACAGCCCCGCAATGGCCCCGCAACACATTTCCGAACTTGCCTTAAATCCGAACTTTGCAAGCAAGATCCGGTCCGAAAAATGATTGGAGCAGGGTACTGGGGCTATGCTGTGCTGTACTGTCACGACCGTAGCCCCTACTTTACCCCCCAAAAAAGAGAGATGCTGCGTTCGAAAGTCATGGTGGTCGTTGAGAAGGCTCTATCTTGAAATCCTCAACTCAAACTTCATAAGGCTGAATTATCTTTGCGTTTCTTGGAGCTCCTGGTGGGATAAGGCTGGAGGGTTCCTCTACCTACACGGAGGGCTTGAGAAGTTGTTCGTTCGACAAGTCTTAACTCGTAGGTGTCCCAATCCGGGTTACCCATAGTACGTAGGTCATTCCTAGCTTTTACTGTTGGGCTACGGAAAACAGGCCCTAGTCGGGAACCAGCCCTTAACCTGGCCGGCCGAATAGGAAATTCAAAACCCCGCTGCGCCCTCTTTTTGACCGCATCTCCTTTAGTTCCTGATCGCCAAATCCGAAACCTGAATTTGATAACCGTCCGGACCCTAACTCCAGACACAGTCTAAATTTCACGTCAGACCGCGGCTACACCAGCCCCAAAGCAAAAGCACGACGCAGGCTCCTATGATGTACACCCTCAACCGACCTAAAGTCTAGAAGCCCCATATCATCCTGTCAAACCCTGCTCCCTGGAAACCCTACCCTATGGCTCCAGTTACCTAAATAGTGGTTACTAACCATGTATCATGTACCCCCCAGTAACCTACTATTTAGGCAACTGTAGCCCTGGGGCTACATAAACCTTACAACGTTGAACCCTAAACCCTGCAAGCCCTAACACGAAGACGACTCTGAGTCCTACAGCCCATAAACCTCAGAAGGAGCCAAGCGGCCGGGCACTTGTAGTACAGGGCCGGCTGCAGCCATCGACCAGTGCTGAACCTCGGCTGCCACTTTGGGGGCGCCGGAGCTTCTTGCACATGGGATCGAAGTCTCTAGAGGCCAAATCAGGAAAGACTACACGAAGCACAGGTGTAGCAGAGCAGAAACACCCTCCTTCGCAAATCCAACTTCCCTGACAACAGCTCCAAAGCATACCCTGGCAAGATTAGATCCGGAACCCGAAACCCTAAACCCTGAGCCTCAAACACATGAGTGCTTTCTTCTGAGACACTTCAGCTTCGACCAAGTATATGCAATCACCTGGACGGCTCTCGGTTTAGGGATTGAAGGTTTCAAGAGGGAAATGAGCTTCAAGCGAGCGGATCCTTGCCTTTGCTCCTTGCTCCTTGGCTAGACTACTGTCCAAGGTGCCCTTCTTGTGCAGAAACTTCATGCTGTCTCTCTCTCTCTCTCGATGTTCCTGAACTCGAGCCCACCTGGTCCCAGCCGTTGGTGAACATGAAACCACCGTAGTCGTGGTTTCCCAACACCCCAAGCCATTGCTTTCCTCAGCCACATGGGATTTGGGGTGGCGAAAGGAAAGGTCTCGGCCCTTTGCTAGGTGCAGATGGACTATGGGTACATCGTCTATCCACCCTAGACTGAATCATCCTTTGAGGGGCTCCGTGTCTTGTACATCTGCCGGCCGGCTTGGAACGCTGGGAGGGGAATACTGAAGCCATTCTTCGGGCAAGCTTCCGTCGAGGCCATCGCACTTGTACATAATCTCATAGATGTTGCTCCACTGGAACCCCGGATCCTACGCCGCGCGGCTGTCTTGGGTCGGGGGTGGTTGCATGAAGCTTGCTCAAGCGAAGCATACTCAAAGCTACTAGGCCAGAATTCTTGGGACGCCGTCAAGCTGAGGGGTCTACGGATCGGAAGCTCACACCCGACTCTTACAGAAAGCTGTTTCACAGGAAGACAGGAAGGCATCATGGCACCCCGAACCCCAACCCACAAGGGGTCCGCGACTTTGTCCATCGGCGCTCCGCACTGCACGTTGACGCCACCCCAGTAGAAGTTGTCTCCAAGGTTGACAACAAAATCTGGATCCCACTTCTTGGCATAGTAGCACATCCACCTGGGATCAGGAAGGGCTTGTAGGAGTTTAGAGGGAGCGGGTTTTGGGTTTCGGGGTTGAGGGTTTTCGTTTTGTGCTACTATAAGGCTCCACCAAGCCATGTGCCGGCATTCAGCCCTGAGTCCAAAAGCGGAAGACTAATCCGCCTTGAGATCTTTTTCTTGTTCTTATGATTACTATTAGTACCATTACTATCATATAACGCATTATTAACTGTTAAACACTCTAAAGTTTAGACTCTAAAGTGAACCCACCTGCTGACGTTGAACTGGGCCCAGTCGTCGGAGGAGTTCACCTCAAAGGCTTGGGATCTAAGTAAGGGTTTGACGGCCTTTTGGAGGGTTTAGAGCTTCGTTAGGGAGGGTTTTGAGCTTCGGGGCTTACGGTTGCAGGTCTTTGGGTCGAGGTGGCTAGGGTTTATATAGGGGTGCTCTGGGATGCAGGTCCACATGCGAGAGGTCTGCAGGTCCGCTCTGACCTTGCTAAACTTCCCCGGCTCTTTGAGACACCGAGTCGCCTTCTTCCGATGGTGGGACGCAAAGACCTGCATGCCGCCATGGGAGGCTGTAGTTCGGGATAGCTTGGGCACTGGGCGCCGGGAGTTTTAAGGTTCTCTTAAACCAGTTCCATCGGCTGTACAGCCTGAACTGCCCTGCACCCCAACTCCGCATCAGCCTTGAAATCAAAAGGGCGGGGCTCCGAGTTTCAAAGGCAACATCCTGTCACCACATGCCCGACCAGGTTCCTTGCAGGTAGATAGCCCCTACACCGGCCTTGCTTGTGTGGTCCGCTGTCTTGGGCGAGTGAACCTCCCATGGATTCACGTTCTTGTCGAAGAAGTCGATAACGCCACCCCAGTCTCCGATCACGAAAATGTGGTGCAGGCCTTTCCTTAATTTCGGGGGTAGCTGACAAGCCTGCAACCTCGCAGCAAAAGACCCCACCAACTTGACCGAATCTACATTCCTCTGTGCAGTATGCTGTCGCATTTTTGTATAACGCTGTATAACTATACCCGTCTTTATACCCTACAAGTCCCAAGCCAATAGCATGTTCGGGCTTTAATATTGTCGCATCTTTCGATCTCCCACTTGGGCGGGGTTCATGACCGCTTTGGGTTCAAGCACTTCCAACCGTTCGTATCTGCCACTAGAAGGTCAGAAACGAGGGAGTGAACAGGCAGGCGTGGGCCAAGGCTCGACAGCACTGTCATTGTGGCTGTGGTGGCGGTGAGTGCGGAGGTGATAATTCTGGTAGAAGCTGAAGTAGAAATAGAAGTACGTAGAGGCTTTAAGGTTCAAGGTGATGGAGCCAATTCTGCTGGTGATGGTGGTGGAGTTGTTCTTGATGATGCTCGTGGCTATGATGATGATGATGATGATGGTGATGATGATGATGCTGATGATGATGATGATGATGATGATGATGCGCATGCTGCTAAACGATGGTTACAATGACTACAGCGACATGCGTAAAAACCAGAAGGACCACTTGTACAACGGGATCATGGGGGAATTAGAACCATATATACAATACGCAAGGCGGCTCGTTGCCACTCAAGCTTGTCCCAAGCGTCGCATCGTTGAGAAAGCAGGTCTCCGGCAGTTCTACACCGTTCAATTCAGTGGAGATCGCTGGTGGGTCCTGAATTGCGCATGGGCTCGCGCAAACTGCAGACGATTCTGCTGCACACTTGCGCTGTGGAGCTTTCCATCAGGCTTTTTTCCAACGCTGTTGGCTACGAAAGGCCACAGGGCCTCGGGGGATGGTTATTGCCAACGACTGTTCTGCTTGCTGAACTTGGTCTGTCATGGCCTGATATCTACTATAGTGGGCGCAGGCGTTGCGGGGCAAAGACATATAGTAACCTCCAAAAAGTTGGAAACCGGATTAAGGACAATTCGTGCTGGGCTTC